CTCTCTCCTCTCTCTCTCTCCTCTCTCTCTCCTCTCTCTCTCCTCTCTCTCTCCTCTCTCTCTCCTCTCTCTTGCATTTCTCCCTCCATCCCTCCATCTTCGTTCGCGCACTCTTCTGTGCCTCGCATCGTCGGTATAGAATGCGTATGGAGAAGAAGAGGAAGCTGCTGCAGCAGCAACGCGTCGTAATAAAAACTTGGGAAATCAAAACTTTGAATTGTAGCACGCTGTAAAACTGGGCGCGCACTACTCTCGGTGTCTGCACAGCTCTGCTCGCCACGTATGGCTGTACCACTGCAGTGGTGTGCGTGCATGTGTACGTGTTCTGCCATCACACGGCCGTCTCGCGTCAATACTCCAGCGTGTGCGTGTGTGTGTGACAGAGAGAGAGAGAGTGCGGGAGAGGGAGACAGAGTGCTGTTGCCTTTGGAGCTGATTTACTGCACGTCCCTTATTGTATACCTGGGGCCCAGCGCGGCCGGTGCAGTGTGCAATGCTCATTGCAGGCGCAACACTCTTTAACCCTTTCTCGAGCCGCCCCACCGGCGCGCGCGCGGGCCCGGGGCCGTGACCGCGGCCGAGGTTCGCGGATTAGGAAGGGGCGTATGTGAGTGAGCGAATGGCTGTGTCACCGCTCTGCGCTCGCCGCCATATTCTACGGCTCTTGCCACTTTTTCATGAAAACCTGCAGATTTTTATGGGCCTTCTTCTTCTTCTTCTTCTTCTTCTTCTTCTTCTTCTTCTTCTTCTTCTTCTCCCCCTTCTTCCTCTTCTTCTCCCTTTTGTACGACCGTACAAACGAACAGTGTGAGAAAATGTAGACGTTTCCTTATGGGGCGTCGCCGGATATATACGAACGGTTTTAAAAAGAAGTTACGAGCCCAACGTAAAGCCCTACTGCGCCGGCGGGCACAATATGCGTGCAAGGGGGACAAGAGGGAAAGAAAAGGAGAGAGGGGGGGGGGAGGTTAGGAAAGAGGAGGAATAAGCGCGGGAATAAAGGGTGATCGTCGGCGACATTTTATGATTAATAACATTCCCGTGGGGGGTTGACGAGGTGAGCGAAGACGGACTGCCCCCCCTCTATAATTCCCCCTCCTGCGCCTTTCGTCTGGGAGCACCTAGCCCTCCCCCTCCTCTCCTTGTCATACTCTCCCCTTCTCTCTCTCTCTCTCTCTCTCTCTCTCTCTCTCTCTCTCTCTCTCTCTCCCTCCCTCTCTGTCCCTCTTGTGTAGGGTGCAGTTACGGCGGCCCAATAAATGCCATCTGCATTCGGCCGAAGCGTTTACTGCTTTTCGAACAAGAGCGGGAAGAGAGGGGGAGGGGGGAAGCTCTTAAAAGAATCGCTGACTGGCGGCAGCAGCAGGCTCGGTGCACAAGGAGAAGGGATCTTTCTCTCTCTATAACAAGGATAGAGCAGGTCAGCGTGTGCCCGGGGGCGGGCGGCTAGTGGGCCCTTATAAGGGTATGGAATAAACCCCTGCGATGTGCGCTTAAAACGGCTGGAGGCGGGTGGTGGCGCACGGGGGAAATCTGTGGCCTGTGTGAGAAATATAGTTTTATATTCATATTCATGACCAATCCGATTTCAGGTGCGGGGCTTCGGTGCCCTGCCCAGCCCAGCCGCCTGTCGCCGGAAGACCGCGTGGACGCGGCGCGCGGACAGCTGGCGCAGCAGCTGCATGCTGGGCTTCAGCGCCCCATCCGCACGAGCTGTAAGTCGCTGCTCCAGGGGCTGCAGGGCCACGTGGACAAGGCACTCCTGGAAATGGCTATGAGGTTCAAGCAGCATTCAGATGCGGGGCCTCAGTGCCCTTCCGACCCCGGGTGTTTGTCGCTGTCTTCCGAGCGGGAGCACCAAGACCACGACCAGCTGGTGAAACTCGAACCGGGATCCGATCCTGGTCGTCGGTGCCCCGCTTATCCCAGGTGTCCGCTGGTGTTCGCCTGTGCGCGGGAGCTCCAGAATCACGTGGACGTGGCGCACCTGCAGCTCGTGCCGCTGGAGCACGCGGAGAAGCTGTTGGGATTGATGCACCTGGCTGGGCTATGTCCACCCACGAACTGACCGATCGGGTCGCCGAGCTCATGGAACTGACATGATATTTTTTATTGAAATGTGTTTGTTATACTTTCGTACTGAACTCTATATTTAATCCGCAATTCTCATCGCTAATTTTCCTGTCTATTCTCTCTGGATGGTTTTGGGTTTTACCATGGTCCTCCGCCGCTTTTTCTCGGTTTCGTTTCTCTGGTGTTTTTTTTTTTTTTTTTTAGCCCTCCCTATTCTGCCTAGAAAAGCTATCTAGCGGGCTTATGCAAACGACCTCGTGTCTGTCTGTCCGTCTGTCTGTCTGTCTGTTCCACTAGAAGGAGATGTGCTAGAGACTTCAAATTTTCGGGGTATCTTAGGTTCACTCCTAGAAAAAGAAACGCCTACGGCAAATCCTGGCAACCACCCATAAGAGGTTGAAAGAGGGTATCAAAGAAAACGGAGTTGCCTCCGGAGGGAAAGTGAAGCTGGCAACTTCGTTTGGCAGAAGGGCGGGCCTGCTTGTTTTCAGTTTGGTTTTCTTTTCTGGTTTTTCAATTTCCTCGAATAAGTCGGGTTCCTTTGGTGGTTTTTTGATTTCCTCGAATTTAGTCCCGTTTCTTTGGTGTTTTTTCTTTATTTCTTCGAATTTCTATCTAATGTTAAAGTTTTAGACCTGTGACTTTTTCTTCGTTTGTACCACAACATCTTTTCTCCCTCTACTTATTGAGAATCATGAATAACCTTCGCCTAAAATGACCATCACCACGTCTCTAGTTGCCTAATTTTTAGCAGCGTGTAACTAACTGAACTAGACAATAATTTTGCTTGTAGCATGACTGCGAACAGATCTCAAATCGGCTGCCGTGGGAAAATTGGAAGGATACTAACCACAATCAGTGTTACTGACTATTGCTTTTGTCAAGTAAATATATTTTTGTACCACATTGATCTCTTATTTCGCTTGCATTTTTATTTAAAATGTCTGACCTAAAGCTCTCACTGCTGCGTGGGGTGCGGGGGCGTGTGTCGCTCCCCCTCCCCCCTTTTTCCTCTCTGCAAGGCCCCTCTCGCCCATAACTCGGACCCCATGTCAAAGCAAAAGACGAAAACATCGCGGCCAGAAAAATAATTTCGGGTCGGCTTTTTCGGCCGTCCTTTGGCGCGCGCGCGCGGTTTCTTTGCGTTAAGCTCGCAGCAATTTTCCCTTGAACATTTTAAACTCAAATATTTTTCTCTCCCGACTGCTCGACTTTAACCGCTTACATTTTGGCGAGCGAGGGCTGCTGCAACATGTGTGTACGGCGGCGCTACGCATGCCGCGGCTCGTGGACAGCGTGGACTCCGGCCTGTTCATGTTCATATATTTTTTTTCCGAACGACGACGGCGGGGCACACTTTTACACCACGCGCTTAATTGAGCAATGAGCGAGCGGTGAGCTGCTGGAGGAGGCAGGGCTCGTGCCGCGGCGTAACTTAGTTGCTCCGTCCGCCCCGCCACGCCCCGCCACGCCCCGCCACGCCCCGCCACGCCCCGCCACGCACAAACAGGCTGGTCTCTAGGTTGGCTGGTGCGCGCTGCGGCGGCGGACGCGATGGACCGCTGATCGGGGCGGAGAGCGGTCTACCTCACTGCAGTGGCGCGAGGACCGGTCAGGGAGAGGGTGGGGAAG